ACTCTGCATTTTTTATGGAAACTGCAGAATATGCTATCTTAAGAAGGATTTACAAGCACTTAAGATTTTTTTATTTGTTTCCTTCTAAAAATTAAATTTGTGGAGTACTTAGGATATACTAGGCACTGCACAATTTAGTTTTTCTCATATATCTTGTACTGTTGTAGTTTATTATGTGAATTTATTTTTTTTTTTGTCTTTTTTTTTCCGGTACCAGGAATCGAACTCATGACCTTGAGCTTGCCAGGCAGGCGCTTTGCCTCTGAGCTAAATCCCCAGCCCCTTATTATGTGAATTTAGATGGTGAAACTGAGGCATGGAGAAGACTCGGGGTTATAGAGTTGACACTGCAAAGAGATGAGATTCAAGCTCCAGAAGTTCTGCTCATAAGCATTGCTATACAATGCCTAGTGGAAAAATGTAAATTTTACTTAATTTTCATAATTTCTTACTTTTAGAAGAAAATATTCTGTAGTGGTTTCATTCAGAAGGAAATCAACTGCCTGAAAACCACACTCTTCAACTGGGTGCCCAGGTCTTCAGTGCGCTGCTACTATGTTGTGTAACGTTTCTACTCCACCTTCATATCTAATAACCTACTCAAGAATCAGACAGAGCTGGGTTTCAATCCTGCCTCTACCACTTACCAGCTGTCATTTCTTGGCCAGGTTATTAACCTTCTGCAAACCTTAGTTTGCTCTTTTATAAAACCAGGATGATGACAAATCCACCCTCATGGTGCCAGAAGGAAGATTCAGTAAGAGAAGACAGGTCTAGAACTGAGTACAAGACCTGAACCCAACTGAATGCTCAGTTTAGTACTCAGGAAGCAAAAACTCAATAAGAAAGCATTGGTAACTTCATGAGAAGTCATTTAAAAAGTGTTAACTCAAGAAATAGCTATAGTTCAAGTGGATAGAACTGTATACATATGGTAGCCTCAATTGTACATGTAGATTTGTTATGGAGAACACTTGGCTAATTTTGCCCTTAGACAAATTCCAAAGCAGAGCACTAAATAACTCCTGGATGTCTTGAGGTACCCCACAAATGCCAAAAAAGACAGCATAGCTGCCTGACAGCACACCAATCGTGGTCCAAATGGCTCAAGGTCCTCTAAATTCTCACTTATGTTAAATTTTCTTTCTACGCCCACTTCTCCCTGAATTGGTGAGAGCATACTTGGTGCTATGATTTAAATCTCTGGCCAAAGTTAGATCAGTCTCTAGGGGTTCTTCCCTGGAAATCCAGGCAGATCCTTCATTTTATCCAAGTCTTGTCTATAATAAAGTGAGCCAGCTCTTCTTCCCCTGTCATTCTGGGGAAATTACTCCACAGAGGTTTTCTGGTGCAGTTGCCATTTCTAGAAAATATCCAACATTGCTCCAAGCTGAGTATATTTTATTCATACTCTGCTAGGTTTTCTTAAAAGCAAATATTTCTGAGGTTCCTGTTTTCCTAAGATGAATTGAGACACAGTAGAATAGTCACACCTTATTTTTGACAAAAACTTAGTGTTTTCCAGGCAAAAATCATACACATTTAGTTACACTGATGCTCATGCAAACCTTATACATAGGGAGGGAACCTAGTTTCACAGATATTTTTCTTAGCTGAAATATGCCTCTTTTGAAAATAGCTTTGACAGGTAGTTGGGAAAGAATTGAGACTTTGCTTATTTATAGAAAGAAAACAGGAAAACCAATGATATTTCTGGTGTGGATGTCTACAGAAAAATATTCTTCTACCATAGAATTGGCCCTAAATTAAGTGCTACTCTGGATTCTCCTAACAAATCATAACAGCAACACCTACAATGACCCATCTCGTGTCATGTACTCCCTCCCAGAACGGAGCTCAAAAATGTTTACATGAATACAAAAGCATCCAGCACCCAACAAAGAGCATTTTATAATATCTGGCATTAAAAGGTGCAGAAACATGCTACTTGTAATGAAGAGTATAATCACTCAAAGTGAAATCAGAACTAGCATAGATATTAAAACAATTATTATAACTGTATTCCACGTGTCACAAAGACAAGTAGAGACATAGAAGATACAAAAAGAAAGGCTGGGTGTAGTGGTGCATGCCTGTAATCCCAGAACTCAGGAGGCGGAGGCAGGAGGATTGCTGTGAGGTTGAGGCCAGTCTGGGCTACAGGGTTCAAGGCCAGCCTGAACTGCATAATGAAACCCTGTCTCAAAAAGACAAAAAAAAAAATACAAAAAGAAGATTCAAATGGAATTTGTAAAGATAAGAAGTACAAAATCTAGGATAAACAATATACTGGAGAGGAAATTAATGGCAAATTAGATTTGACCACAAAAAAATTAGTGAAGCTGAAAGTACAGCAATAGAAGTGATCAGAAGTCAAAGAGAGAGAAAAAAAATTTTTAAAAATTAGAATGAGTGTTGATGAACTTCAATATTCTCTCCTAATAATTGATAGAAAAACTAGACAGAAAAGTAGCTGATTATAATAGATTTGAACAACACTATCAGCTAATTTGACCTTGCTCACACTTATGGAATGCTCCACTTAGGAGTAGAACATAATCTTTTTAAATGCACATGAAACATTTATCAAAATAGACAGTGTTATGGGCTATAAAACAATGCCCAAGATTTTAAATGATTCCAGTTAGTCTATGAGCTTGTGTAGAACTGAAATTATTTCTTCCTTAGATATTTTGTCAAAGTCACCAGTAAAGTAATCTGTGCCTGGAGTATTCTTTATGGGAATGCTTGAACTACAAATTCAATCTATTAGGTATAGGCTAAGTTATTTCTTCTTGAGTGACCTTTGGTGATTTGTACATTTCATGAAATTTCTGTATTTCACCGAAGCTATCTAAATTTAATAAAAAATCAATAATAGAAAGATCTTTGAAAAATGCCCAAAACTGAACAAAACACTTAGAAAATATTTTGAAATGAATGAAAATGAATACAACATCAGAATGTATAAGATTACAAAAAAGCAATACTTACAAGGAAATTTGTAGCATTGCCTGTATGATAAAGGTTTCAAATCAATGACTTCATTTTCATCTTAAAAATTTAGAAAAAGAACAATAAGTTAAACTCAAGGCAAACAGATGAAAATAATAAAATTTTAGTAGAACTCAAGCAAATAGGGAGAAAAGAAAAACCAATAGATAACAATCAATAAAATCAAGAAACACTTCATTGAAATCAATAAAATTGATAAATCTATAACCAAACTCACCAGAAAAAGAGAGAACACACAAATAACCAATATAAGGAATGAGAGAAAGGAGGCATATTCTGTAGATATTGAGGATATCCAAGATATAACAATTTTGCATAAAAATTAGACAGCTAGGTGAAAAAATGAAATTTCTTGCAAAGCACAAATTACAAAGCTCACTCAAGAAGTAATAACTTAAATAGCCTATACCTAAGAGAGAAATTGAATCTGTAGTTCAGACTTTCCCATAGAGAAACTCGGGGCACTGATGAAACTGATGAATTCAACAAAATGTTAAGGATGAAATAATACCAATTCTACAAAAACTCTTCCAGGAAATTAAAGAGGAAGGAATATTTCCCAGCTCATTCTTTAAAACCACATTACCTTGATACTGAAACAGACAAAAATAAAGAGGAACTATAGAACAACACTCCTCATAAATATAGATGCAAAATTCTACACAAAAATTTAGCTAGTCAAATCCAAGAATAGATAAAGAGATAATATGGAGTTCACCTCAGTAATGAAGGGCTCACTGAGTATTCAAAAACCAGCCAATAAGCATTTGCCCTATTAGTAACACATGTTTGTTGCCTTCTATTTCAATAGTAAGCTTTTACAGCATTGTCTAATTGATTTGTTATGAGAAATAAGTATAATAATAAATGTAAAAGCATCTAGTAAATGGCTGGGGACAGGGATCAGTACATCTTCTGCTATTTAAAAATATTGTTATTGCTTGATTATGTTTCAAACATGCTTCTGTCACTCCAGTGCTACTGCTAAAAAAAAAAAAAAAATAGAAAAAACGAACATTGGAGGAGGACAGGGATCAGTACATCTTCTGCTACTTAGAAATATTTTTATTGCATGTTTATATTTCACACATGCTTCTATTACAGAAGAAAAGAATATTGGCCATCTGCTTCCCACCTTTCTGAGCTGGCATTTCCTGTTGTGACCTCACCAATGAGCCAGCATTCCCATGACTGTGGGCAGGTTTCATAGTCCCATAGCTTTAGAAGAGTGTTACTTGAAGTGCGGTCCTGAAATACAATAAGCTTTCATCCAAATGTAAACTGTGGAACTGTTTTCTTCTTTGAGAAAGTCTTGCTGCAAGAAAACTATTGTTAGCTGAACTAATCAATGCTTAGTAATACAGTCATCTTATATCACAGTGCAAGCTCCTTATCTTGTCATGGGCTAATAAACTGTTTGCAAACTAACAATTTTTTGAGCACCAAAATCTTAAAGTACATAATGTTTTGCACAGCATTACATTTCTAAAGTCAATATTTATACTTGGTCTCATGCTGACACTTCATGGTGTGTTTTATGAACATGTGTATAAAGGTACAGGAGTTTGTGCCATTGATAAATATCACTTTGACATCTATATTTTTTTTTGTATCACTAAATATAGTTAAATCTCTAAGTAGATGGAAATGTGTTCTTCACATTTTGTAACCATGGGGAACCCACTAAAAATAAGATTACATCAAAATAGTCGGGGGATAAATCAATACTTTGACCAAAGATCTGAAATGGGGTAGCAAATAGGTTTCTTCTTGTATGACAACATGTATTGAATGGTAATAGTTCTCTATGTACTATGTGATGACAGACTAGCAAATGCATTTGGGAAGAAGTTCTGCAGTTGATTAGTGATGTCTGCCAGGGGTGTGGAAAAGAAGGAAGGCAACACCACACAGAAGCTATTTGCCATCCAAGTCTAGGAGTTTCCTTTCTACAAGGAAGAGTGACTTGAGTTATTCTGTTTCAGGATATGAAAATCATGGCAGGAAAAAAGAACCAGTTCTGACTTATGAACCAGGAGATGCTTCTCTTCAAGGATATTGCATGAATGTGGCCTTCCTCATAGGTGCTTCCCAAAGAGTAGGGCATGATGAGTTTAAGGAAGTGAAAGCTTTTATAACCTCAGTTCTTGATTACTTTTACGTTACCCCAGATCCACTGACTTCCACCTTAGGGGACAGAGTGGCTGTCCTGACCTACTCTCCACCCAGGTATCTGCCTGACACTGAAGACTTCCCTGTCTACCTGGAATTTGATTTGATTACTTATAGCAATATACATCAAATGAAACATCATCTCCAACACTCTCTTCAACTGTCAATGGAGATGTTTTCATCGGTCATGCCCTGCAGTGGACAATTGATAATGTCTTTGTAGGGACCCCTAATCTGAGGAAAAACAAAGTTATCTTTATAATATCTGCTGGTGAAACCAACCCATTAGACAAGGAAATCTTAAGGAATGTATCTCTGAGAGCCAAGTGTCAAGGCTACTCCATATTTGTAATTTCCTTTGGTCCTCTACACAATGACAAGGAATTAGAAGAATTAGCCAGCCATCCCCTGGATTACCACTTAGTCCAGCTTGGTCAGACCCACAAGCCAGATCTGAACTATGTCATCAAGTTCATCAAGCCATTTGTTCATTTAATTAGACGTGAGTTATTCAAGATTTTCTCTTCTAGGTCTGGAGGTCATGCTCAGTGGTAGATTGCTTACCTAGCATGTATGAGGCCCTAGATTCAATCTCCAGTTTTTAAAAAGACATTTTCTTTTCTACTGCTTTTGCAGTACATTTAGTGTCTCTGTGTATGCTCCATCAGCAGAGTTTGTCAAATGATCCTCAATTCAGTTATAAGTGATGGCATGTAAGTGGAGTAAGAGGCAGTAAAAAAGTCTCAGAAAAAATCCAAGGTCTTGTTGACATTGAACATTGCTGCTGCCCTGTGAGAGTTCTTTCTAGGAGATCATCAAATGGGCAAACAGTTTCCTTTAACCTAATCTGTGATTGTTTATTATGTGCCAAATTCTTTAATAGGTCATCTTAAATTCATCTTTAGCCCTCAAATGTAAATGATCATAACCCCTTTTTTATAAAGGAAAAAATGAAGTTCAGAGACTTTAAATAAATTGATTAAAAGCTCACAATAAACAACTGGGAAATTCTAGACTCAACCCCACACACTCTGACCCCAGAACTATATTCTTGTCCTTCACTATACTTCAGTTACTAAAATGTTAAGGTATATTTTGCTATAATAAACAGTACCACTGCCACCACTGTCCACCTCTTCCAAAGACTTATTTTGTTTTGCATTGTAAATTAATCTTGGTTCTGGCTTGAATTCTGAGTTCCAGGCACCAGAACTTCTATAGCTTCTGCCCTAGACAGCCAGCTCAGGCACAGCAGTGCAGGGATTTTCAAGGGTGTTCATACACAGGGCACTCTGATAGCAGCTGCCCAGCTCTGCCCATGGGTCATTTTTGACATAGGTGCAGCAACACACTCAAGGTCTTAGGGCACCAAACAAGCCTTGGCCTCTACTGGACTCAGAAATGGGGTAGAGTACACTCTGATGGGTGACTGCAGCTGCTGGAAGTTTGCTAGTTTTTCAGGATGCAGATTTTTCTGACACTGTCAGTGCCCCAGTACTCACATAGCCCTCAGCAATTTTGAGTTTTAGAAGTTTCGTCTAATAGCAGGCAAAAAACAATGTCTTCTCCCATACTCAAGGTTTAAAAATTCCCAAGCTTTAATAACTAATAAAGTCACCAAGAAAGAGCCTTCATTTCCAGTGAGAAAAACAAATCATAGGAAAAATTAAGAGATGTCTTTAAATTACATCACAAACCTATGACATACAGAACATGGGAATATTTTATTCAGTTGCTGCTATATCTTGTTGACTTGGTCAACAGTAAGGTATTTGAATGTCAAAGTGTGTCTACTTTGCCCAGTCCCTTAATATTAATTTGTTTCTGAAAATACCACCAGCCACAGGAAAAGATGAAATGACTTTGGGTGATAGTCATAATGTAAGAGGATGAAATCAAAATTAACCAGCCCCTTCCCTCTCCAGGTGGTATCAACAAATATCCCAACAGTGACCTGAAAGCCCAGTGTGACAACATCACCTTTCCCAGACAGGAGAACATCAGCACAGAGAACACTGTATTGTGAGTTGAGAAATCTCAAGTTTGGGAAATACTGTAACACAAACTGTGCTTTAGAAAATAATGTGAAGTTAATGGCATTTTGGTTTTCAGGATGCAAGTTTGGGGGTTTTCAGGATGCAAGTTTGGGGGTGTGTTAGTGTTTTATATGCAATAGTTTGTGATATCAATACGGGTTTGGAGTAAGTAGCAGATAGAACATGACCTATGTTCAGAAGAACCATATTTCTATTTTTGTTGTGAGAGAGAGAGAACCTCTTATTTGTACCTTTTTAGTAATTAAATAACATGACTCTAATGAAAATGAAAACATAATATCAAAGATCAGAGCAGAAGAAAACATGAAAAAGAAAAATGAACAAAAACCTTACATTTAGAAAACATAACATATATGAAAACAAGTGGAAAGGATTCTTTCAAGATTGACTTTAAAAGCGCAACCCCAAGTACTCAATAAAACTTCAGTCATGAAAACAGTGTTGGTTTGGAGTCCTAGACTGTTGAGATAAATAAATTTTCAATTTCTCTTCAAAATATTAGGACATTGCCCCTTAGTTGCATCCTACCTGCAAAATATGTTTAGACTTTTCCAATGGCACACGTAAAGTGGATTCCTGTTTTATTATCTGGCTGTATTTACATTTAATCTTTCAAGGGGCTTGGCTAACCAGTTTTTCACCATTTCTCTCCATTGCTACAGACTTATTCCTGAGGTGTATGAAATAGAGACAGAGGACAGTGGACTCTTTGGTCACCTTGGTTCCCAGGAGCAACATTTCTTTGAATCAGGGAACAACAGTAATAATTGTGGGATTGCTGCTGATTTGATTCAGAAGTTATATATGCTCTTTTCACCTGGGGAAGTGATGGTGAATGACAAGCAAGAAGCACATTCAGAAGAAATTACAGCTTCAGGAAATGATGAGCAACAAGGAAAAAAAGGTAACTTGGAGTATAATATTTGAAGATCCTAGCACAATGGTGGTGAACCCATGGTATGAGCATTGTTTCTCTTTAAAGACAAAAGGTGTTAATGTATGAGTTGTTTTTCCAAACTAAAGCCTCGGTATTCAGGTTTAATTGCAGTGTTGGCACTTTGAGACAAATAAGTGGGTTTCGGGTTGCAGTTTGGGTACTTTGTCCAAAAGGTTCTCCATCGCTGCCCCAGAGTACCTTGTTACTTGGGTTCCCCATGAAAGATCAGCAGTGAAGATTCAGTAGGTCTGGTGGAGATGATGGGACAGGGCAAGAGCAGCTAATCACCTAGGGCCACAAGAGGGCTCCCAAAATAAGGAGCTCAGACTCCAGAAATGTGAAAAGGGAGTTGGTAGTACTGGCAACAGTCAGAGGTAGAAGTGGATGGAAAGGCGCGGTGTGGAGTCCTGTGATGGCAGGAGGAAGCTGCACTCTGTGCAGAAGGGGCTGAGAGAGCTGGGCAAGGGACTCTGGAGCTTCAGTGCTTGAGTTCTACCTTCTGACTTTGCAGCAGGGCTTCCTTGGTTTGGGATGCAGGCTCCTCACTGAGCCCCTGTGTCAGTGGGCCTGAAGAGGACAAAGTTGCTGAGGATCTGAGATCCATGTAGAGGCCACAGGCAGCTCTTTAGGCTGGGTAGGGACATGGTCACGGACCTAGAGCTAAGAGAAAGTAAGAGGCAGAGAACAGAGGCTTATGGCAGGTTGCTGGGAAGTGATCCACAGTCCTTGCTGTACACCAGAATCAGGTGGTATTGTGGTTTGCATCTGGATATCCCCCCAAAGCCTCATGTGGTCATGGGGGGGAACAAACCCTGGGTGGTGTACATGGAAAATGGTTACAATTATGCTTTAAAAATACATGTTCAAATCTTGCAAATGGTCAGCAAACAGAAAATCTGCCCATTGAATAGTTATATAAAATGAAATATCAGGCCGGGGGTGTAACTCAGCGGCACAGTGCCTGCCTGGCAAGCACAAGGCCCTGAGTTCGATTCTCAGTACAAAAAAAACGAAAGAAAAGAAACTATCAGAAAAATGACAGGTCAAAAAGAAAAGCCTACCCAACGAATTAATAAATACATTTCCAATAAAGAGGTTTACTATTGCATTGATAGAATTATCAAAATTTAAATATATGTACTATTATGATAAAGTCTAATGATAATCCACATAGACAAAATTTTAACAGATAGAAGCTTAGCCATAGGAAATAAATACACACAACTATATACTTATCTATGTATATATATATAGTTCCCCTGTAAACAATGAAAGATTTAAAAGTATGTAAATGTATTACAGCTAGAATGAAATTCTATGGGAGAAATGGAATGGAAATACAAAGTGAAACAGAAATGAACACTACAAAATATTTGGCTTTTAATGGAGACTATATTTTTAAA